TTGACTGATTACTGAGTAATCTGAGGTTAACAATGTGGGGATGACATTGGTTCCCAGGCACACAACTTATCAGTATCAAGGCATCATTACGTATTAATTAATCACATTCACTTAATCACACAAAGATTACAACTTCCCAACACATCTGGCAAATTTTCTCATCACCGTCATGAAATTAATCAATATTCATTAAACCCCACACACCTAACCACACAGATTACACTCCCTCACTGATCTGTCATGTTATCATTTCATTAACACCACACCTAACAGCTTAGGTCACTATTGTCACACCAGCTGACTTGTTATGCTTTAATTATAGTTATTTGTACATTTGTTTATGACCTAGCTGCTACTGGTTATCAATATAGGTTTTCTGTAATTTCATTTTTGTTTGTATACTATTGGACTCTGCATTATCATGTACATTTGATATTTCCTGTAATTTCAAAGTTGTTCACAAATGCTGTCCATGTGTTGCCATTTAGTTTGCTTTCTGACTTGAATGCACATTGAACCAAAGGGCTACATTCTGAATTTAATACTCTCCTTTGGTATTTTAGCATTTATGAGTATATATCAGTGATGATTGGGTAGCTTCCAAGCTCTGCTCTAGAAGCAATGTTACTGAACCTTTTATGTACACCGAATGTTTGCTTGCAAAATTTGATGTGCAGTTGTTCAAATTGTAATTTGTCATTGAATGAATGAATCATTTGCAATAATGTTACAATTTTTTGATTTAAATAATTTAAAGTTAAAAGCTGCCCATACTTCTGATCCATACAATATGATTGGTAGAACTGTACTTCTGAATAGTTGTATGGCATTCTTTGGTGAAATGATTTAATTGTGCAAGTTTAGTGTCTGTCTTAGTGCACCTAGGGCTCGCTGTGCTTTCATCACTAAGTTATCTATTGCTAGTTTAAAGTTTCCACTGCTATTAAAGATAATTCCTAGGTATGTATAAGTAAGTAAGTAATTTATTATAGTGACCTGCAGCTCAGAGAACTGCCCAGCCCAGTGAACTTATAAGTCACATTAAATAATAACGATTACATTTACAAATACAGGTTAATATGAAAGAGAGCTTGAAATAATATATCAACAATACAATCGTGTAGTTCATTAAATTCAGACGTACAACAAATTTCTTCTTTTGTAAAAAGCCTTTTCTATAAAAAAAGCAAGTTTTTTTATTGGCCCTGAAAATAAACGAACCAGTATTTGTTCCCGTGATATGCCAGATATTTCATTGAGAATAGAATCTAGATATTCGTGCCTCAATTCATTGTATTGCTGGCAGTCAAAAAAAAAATGCATTTCGTCCTCAACAACATTTGCATCACAAAATTACAGATTCGTTCACTTACAGGCTTGTGTCTAAATCGCCCAGTCTCAATGCGGAGAAACAAAATGCCCATGCGCAGTTGAGCTAATAGTGACCTTTGACCCCAATTTAAATTTATTAGCACATACTTTTCTGGTTTATATTCAAATATAAAAGTTGCATAGACACATAACTTTGGTTTGTGACTAACATCTTCTGACCAAGATGACTCTGACCTCCTCGCAATATTTTCTCTTAATGCATGTATATTTACGTCAATTAGGTGTTCATAATTTAAGTCGACGAGCTCCATAATTTGGTAAATCTCCAATGACCAATTATTATAATTTAGAAGTGATCCCACAGAAATACTTGTTTAACTAGTCTATTGTCATCAAGTTCACTAATACGCTTCCACAGTCTAACCATATGGGCCCATCGCCGATCTCTGCATGAGACCCACCCAGTGTCACCTTAAACAGCCGGAAGTGGGGAAAACCTATGGGTGCGAAGAAAAAATCTTAAAGCCCTATTTTGAATCATTTCGCACTTTTCAAATTTACTAAAACCCCAAACACCGGAACAATAATCAAATATAGGCGCGACACTGGCATCATATAACTTTGTAAATGTGGAAAACCCAAGATTCTTGTGAGTTTTAAATTTAACAAATAACGCTCCTAACGCTCTACTTGCCGAGTCTGCTGCGACACTAGCAGTTACAGGATAATCAACGAATTCATCCAAAACAATCTCCAAATATTTATACTTATTGGTATAATCTAACACATTATCGCCAATACAAAATTGGAATGTACTTCTAGCTTCACTGGCTTTTCTAAAATGTAACATTTTCCATTTTTCACACCACCTATTTATTATGACTTAACATCATTTGCATATAAAATTCATTATAGCAACACAATATCATCAGCGTATAACAAAATACTAACATTAACTTTATTATCAAGAGTTATTTCTTTTTGTTTCAGGTTAATTTCAACTGCCAAATCATTAATAAAGATGGAGAATAATGTAAGAGAAAGATTATCACCCTGACGTACGCCTTGCTCAGTGTTAAACCAGTTTACTTTAAAATCATTTAGTTTTACAGAAGAATTTGTGTCGCTATACATAGCTAGTATAGACTTGTACATTTCACCGTTAATTCCATTAATAAGTAATTTGTATAGCAATGCGTCTCTATCGACACTGTCAAACGCTTTTCGTAAATCAATGAAAGCGGCAAAGGTTGATAAATCATGGGATATTCTATTCCTGATAATAGATGTCAAAATATAAATATGATCTTTGCAATTTCTATCCTTTCTGAAACCATTTTGCTCATCTACTAAAATATTATTATTTTCTAAAAACCTTGTGATTCTGTTATTAAGCAATGCGCTGTACAGTTTTGATAAAGTGGACTGTATGCTTATGCCCCTATAATTCATTGGAACGCGAGGGTCACTCGACCTCTCCTTCAGAATTGGACAAATTAATGCTTTTTTCCAGATGCATGGAACTTTTGCACTGTCAAAGCAAAGTTGATAAAGATGAGTTAAAATGGCAACAGAACTGTCATTCTTAAGCACTTCATACAGGATTTTATCTAACTGCCTTCCCTGACTTTGCTTTTGTTACACTGCCTTAATTTCTACAGTAGAAAAATTCTTATTTAATTCCGAATTACTTTCATACAGTGGATCATCCAAATCATTTTCTATGATCAATTTATGATGTAAAATATGTTCATAGAAATTCGTGTCAAATCCATCTAGATCAGATTGATTGTAAAGGGATGAAAAATCATGTTTTCACTTTAATATTTAAAACAATGTTATGATTACTTGTAATATGACCCCCGTCATCGTAAACTTCCATTGGGATATCTTTACGTTTGACAGGTCCTAATTTATTAATATGCTCCCAAAATAGGTGTGGGTTTTCAGTACATACCTTTTCAATGCTAGAAACAAGATCATTTCTATAATTTCGTTCGCAGCACCGAAGTTTTTTGTCAAATGCCTGTCTCGCTGCTTTGAAATCATTACGTAATATCGTTCTAATATTCTTAGAGCCGCCAAATCGAGTGTAAGAGCGTTCTCGTTCTCTCATAACACGCCACATACTATATTGCTCGTCGCTCCAGTATGGCTTATGATGACGGAATCTTTTCCGTGCCCCACTGGAGCAGTTATAATTTGGAATAGTCGAATTCATTTCATTTAAAATACATTTGCATAGATCATCATAAATCTCATCAATTTCTTGTTGCGTTTCCCTACAAATTTCAATCTTAGAAATTATATGTAATAACGCTTCCCTAGCTACTTCTAATTCTAGGAAATTAATAGGAGTCTGGTTGAGACAATACTTTCTAACAGTCACACTGTGCCGGTTATTACCGATATTAATATTATTTGACAAACTTTGTTCCACTATTGATCCCAGTGGTCTATCCAGAAATTCAAAAATTAAAATTGAGTGGTCAGGGAGTTTACTTCTATCAGTGAGTGCATCAAATAAATTGTACTTCTCAACCAGAGACGACATAGTTATAGCATTAAAATTATTACAATAAATTAAATGGTCTCGGGGGGAATGCACACGTAATCAACTACTGAGCTCCCCCC